TCACTGTGCTCATTTCCCATGCGCTTGTATGGAATATGGCAGTTTTGTAAGTGGAAGGTGTGTGCATATTTATCTTGATGCGGATGGTCAGGTTGGTGTTGCAGGCATTCATGAGACAAGCGCAGGTTCATGTCTTCGCTGTTGTGAGCTTTAGGAAGTTGACAGACCCTTTAAATATGCACACCTGTTGGCTTGAGGCGCTTCTGTGATTCCATTTGTATCATTTCTTTTCTTTCTTCCTTCCTTTTTTTTTTTGTGGAACCGGGGATTGAATTTAGGCCCTTGTGCTTGCCAGGCAAGCACTTATTCTACTGAGCTGTCTCTCTGGCCCCTTCATTTCTTAGAAATAATTTTGTAAGATTTACTAATTAAAGAATTGCGGGTTTGATCCTCAGCCTGCCATGCTGGCCCCAACCCCGGGGTGTGCTGAGACTGAGCACGGTGGCATGGCTTGCAGTCCCAGCGCTTGAGAGGCTGAAAACAGGAGGATCACTAGAGTCTGATCTGTGTAGTGAGACCCTGTAGACTCCATACTAAATACATTAAAAAAAAAAAAAAGAAACGAATTGTGGGGGCCAGGGAGATAGCTCAGTGGAATAAGTGTTTACCTGGTAAACACAAAGTCCTGAGTTTGATCCCTGGTATCACAAAAAAATAAATAAATAAATAAATAAATAAATCTGCCCTTGTTTATTTTCTTTTGATTCAAAGAATGCTTATCAAATTGTAGATTCCTGGGATTTAGGGACTCTACATGTTTATCTTTCATGAAAAGTCTTCTTATTTTTGAAGCTTTCTCTCACTTATATTTCAGAGTAAAATATTTTAACATTGATTTTGTTCATCATTCCCCTGCTTCTCAATTCCCAGTACCAAAAAACATGTTGCTGTTCATCAGGCCAGCTTTGTGTGGCATACGTAGGTGTGGGCGGCAGCCTGGCTGTGTCCAAGGCAGAGGACAGCATGCAGCCTGTGCCTGTCGTCCCCGCAGGCTGGGGCTGGAGGGCTGCGAGTGTGAGCCCACAACCCAGTCTCTAAAGACAATAAGTGAATAAGGAGGGCTCGGGATGGAGGTCATACAGGAGCTGGATTCAGCCCCACCACTTCAGAAGAGGGGCAGTGGAGATCGGCTGGCGGTTCACCGAACCCTACTCCTAATGTCTTCCCTCCCCTCCTGGAATCTGCTTTTCTTAGATTTCTATACAGCACAGAATAATTTACTAGCGTAATTTCCCTTTTTATACAGAAAAAAATGAAGGCACAAAGAATTTTTTTTTTTTTAGAAATCATATAGGATGTTTTATTTGTGCTCTGTAGTTCTTTACATTTTTTTTGTACAAGAAACTGCTTAACAGGACAAGTTCTTTAAATCAATACAAAGTCCAAACATGTAAGAGATCAACAACACCGAATCACACTCAATGGTAACAGTGAAAACTGTGCCTTAAGACTTTTTCAAAAACTCTTGGACACAAAATTAAAACAGACTCTTTCAACTTTGAAAAAAAAAAAAAAAAGAATCCAAACTTTTTGGGGCCGGGGAGATGGCTCAGTAGGATAAGCACTTGACCGGCAAATGTAAGGATCTGAGTTCAATCCCCAGTTCCGCCAAAAAAAAAAAAAAAAAAAAAAATCAACTTTGAGAGGTCATTATTCCCAAATTGTGCTTTTCCTTCTGATTAGTAGTGAATAAGGCAGAAAAGCTGGTTCTGATTTAGATTTTTTTTTTACCCCGTTTTTCAAATGAGTGAAAAAATAAACAGCTTCCCTCATTAAGAAAAAAAAAATGCAGAAAAAAGCCAGTGTTACCTTGGGACAGTGGACACAAGTCCCGAGGCCGGCTGGAGGCCCATGCCCTGCCCAGGTCAGGTCTGCACGCTGGTAGTGGGGGGTCACAG